TATGTAGAATGGAAATGTAAAAGTACGTACTTAAAATCTCATCGCAAATGGGACATCTTCTTATAAGCTGTTGTAGCTTTTGAGATACTGCAAGGTGCTTGTCAAATATCTTATAAAAATTGCAACACTTTTTTTCATAGCTAAAACTGCAAAGGAGAAGATGTACCATACAGAAAATAAATTTGGATACTCCAAAAAGTAAACCTATATTTGGAAGTGTGGATAAAAGTCTAGATATAATTAAAATGTATCCTATTTCGTGTTTGGTTCATGCCAAATACAGGATAAAGTCGGATATAAAAGGGATATAACCCGAATAAATGTGAATAGGATTTCTCATGTCCATAGTATAAAAGCTATATTTCTTGGATAACAAACTTATTAAATTAATAATTAGATATGAAAAATAAATGAATTCCAATACAAAACAAGAAAATTCAAAGTAACAGAAAACAACAATTTTCATTTTTATTAGTTCCTATTTTTATTTATTTTCTCAAATTTCTTTCTATTCTATAATAAACACACACGCACGCACACACACACATCTAGTATCTATAGTTATTACATATTTTAGGTATATGAGTATAGTTTATTATTTTAAATTTTTATTAAGGAATGATGGATGAGAATACAAAAGAAATAAAAAAAAAGGAAAAGAAATAGAAAAGAGATGGAAATATATTAAAAATAAGTAAATAAAAATGACGTAACCCAGCTTTTAAATGAACAAATTCAAATTTGCAAAAGGATCTTTCGAATTCTCAAAGAATGAGGGACGACGAGATTTCTAAAAAAATCCCTACCCTCCATGTCTTTTTCTTTTCCGAATCTCTGATTCATGTTGAAATTTCACAACTTCTCCATAGTTTTTTAGTTCACGTCAAAACTCCTCCTCAGAGAGTCGAAGTCCATTATCCTCCGTAGCTTTGTTGTTCACCTTAAAGCTTCACGGAAGTGGTGAGAGAGTCAAAGCACCAACTTTTCAAGAATTACAAAGGTGAATAATAATGTTTTCTCTCTTACTGGATTTGACATTTTCTGGCCGATTTACCTCGTCGATATTGCTATAGCCTGTTTACATTTCTTGTCATTGACTAACCTGTGGCTCTAGAATAATGTAACGAACTCTTTTACTATTTGAGATACATTTAATTAATGGAGGTTATCACCGTTTATGCATTTGTGGTTTACTCAACAATGAATAGTGAGAGATTCCTACCATCTCTATTTCCTGTGATTCACCAAACAATAGATTAGATATAGCAAAATACTTCATATATTATCTTATTTAGTTTTATCCTGACTAAAATTCCAAACACAGTCTAAAAGGACTTATTTCGCCAGAATTTGCGTCCGTGATGAAGTACCTTTCATTGAAAGTCATTCTTTGGCTTTCATTAAAGGAGAGAGGTTATGTGGCAATTCTGGACATGAAATATCACAGGTACACAAGAAACCGATAACTTCACTTCAAATGGAAATGAAAGTACACAAATTTTGCCAAAATTAAATCGACGACAAAGCTTGAAGACATAAAAATGCAACGCAGAATTTAATCAACAACCAAGCACCTAGAAACTACAGCAAGGATACACGCTAGAATTTATTCTACGACGAAGTATCTGGAATCCACATCCTTGGTTGTCGATACTATACTCTTCAAGTTATTGACATTTATCTTCAAGAGATTAAATATTCCCGAATATCACTACTGATCAAGTTGTCTTACTGTTCTTTTCATCAATGACTTTTACCTTTCATCAAAATCTACTCTCATCGACTAATTTTATCATTTGTCCATAATAACCAAAATTGGTTCTTTTTTGGTGTAAATGGGAGTAAAATGGTGATTTACATTTAGAGACTTGTATAAGCAAGAGCCACATGTTAGTAGCTGATGGTGGCTCAATAATTTCCAGCAAATTTGAGCATAAATTTGACTAAAGAGCCTAAATTATCGCGCAACGATAAGAATCATAACCAAAGAAAGGAAAAAGGTCAAAAAAGTGCTCTTCCAAAAATTTAGGGATCGTGAATGTGATTTCCCTAGTAATTAATTATGGATCTATCTATTACCGTTGATGTGTCCAAGGATAATATATAAGATCTCATAGGGGGTAGCCTCAATGATTGAGTGTTGTTTCGACCGCATAACTGGTGGAGTTATCTTTGTAGGAACAAAATCACACGCGACACGACATAACACTTTACACGTTATTTCTCAAAAATAGAAAATTTCGACACGTTAGGGCGTATTTGTATATTAAATGTATATTTTTATATATACATGATAAATTATCATTTTTTGATTATTTCAATCAAATTAATTTGATTCAAATTCACAAATAAATAAATAAAAAAAGAGAGCCTAAGAATGAAGTTACACTAAAAACATTAATCCACCATTTATTAATATCATTCATTGTTTTAATTTACAAATTCAACTACGTTCCATTCCAATAATCATCCCCATTGCACCAAATAGACCTAGCATATCAAACTTGCAGGCTATCTTAGAAATAACATAATTGGCAAGCAAGCATCGAGAAAGATAATTATCCTTATTGCAAATAATGAGATGAAAGCGGCAGAGAAGGGCAGAGAGGAGGAGCCCTTGCCCTAACCCCTATTGCAAACGTACAAAAAATACAACCCCTACAACTCAGAAAACATCATTCACGGAAACTCCCAAAAATCACATACCCAACCAAAGAAACAACACCAGAGTACTAAAAAGGGGCGAGGGCAGAACGGTGCACGAGGGCAGAACGGTGCACGAGGGCTACGGCGCGGGCGACAGGGGGATCGCGGAGGGGCCGTTGGTCCCCGGCAGAGCAATCTAACCGTTGCCGGCGCTGTTCCACATGGCTCTTGGTACACGGAGCTGTGACGCGAGCTAAGCGAAGAGGGAGAAGATCGAGAGGGAAGAATGGCTACTGTCGAGAGTATGTGTGGCCGCGTCGGATGGCAAGATTGTCGTAAGATGAGAAGAGTCGTGGAGTGAGGGAGGGCCGGAGGCAAGGCTGAGAAGACTAGGGTTTCTTTTTTCTTTCTCCCGTTTTTTTTTTTCTTTTTATATATATATTTACATTTTGACCCCTAATTTTTTGAAAATTTATAAAATTGATCCGTGCGTGTCGGAATCGCGTGTCGGGATTCCGGACTCGTGTGTCGGCGACGTGTCCGGCGCGTTGACCGCGTGTCGGATTTTCGACACCTATTGACCTCGTGTCGGACACATGTCACGTGTCGGATACCGATACGTTGGCCTCCTGAACGTGTCTGTGCTACATAGGGAGTTATAATCCCCCGGGACAAATGCCCCGATCTTACTTGGCGGAGGGAGGGAGTGACCTCGCGCTACCTCGGGAGTTTCCCTCGATGGCGTAAATTCCTGGGAAAATTTCAAATAATGACATAAAATGATGCCGTTTTCTGAAAAAAGGTACGAAGTGAAAAGATTGGCCATCTCGATCTCAAATAAGGGCCCTTGACCAGAAAAAAAAAATCTCAAATAAGGGCCAAACTCACTAGATGACCAAATCTTATTCGCTATCAGGGGCATTTTCGCCAAAAGCTTTATTTCTTTCTTGTTTTTTCCTATCTTCCTCCTCATGCCGGGTCCTTCGCTCTGCATCAGCTCCCTCTGACTCCATTATTCACTCCGACAATAAAATCCTCCCCAACCGTGACTTCAGTATCGGCTTCCCAATATCGCCCCGAAAGGCCCGCGATGATGATGAAGTTGAGAATTGTTGTCAAAGGATAGGATCTTTGGTGTCATGGCTCCGGCGGTGACTGATGATCGTCACGTCGCTGATTCCTCTTCTACTACATAAGCTCAAAATTCAGTTCAACTCTCTCATCAAACTCCTCCGATTTCAGAGAGCTCGAAGGGCGCGATTCCAACATCCCCTCAAATTTAAGGAAATGTGGCATTAAAGGGATGAAATTGTTCTAAGTCTTCACGTAAATCGATAATTTAAGTCTCTAGCTTCTGAAAACCCAAGAAATCAAGAGGCTGTTCTTCACCCCTAAGTCACAGCTCAGGAAGCTGTTCGACCAACAGTTCCCAGGCGTCCTGAGGATTTCTTCGTTGGAGAAGGTCACCGGCGGCGCATAACTTCAATCCGGCTCCTCGTCGCCAAGATTGATGAGAGCTTGCGCGAGAACGCGAAGCTCACGAGCTCGCTGGTGGGGAGGTTGATGATGCTGTGCAAAAGGGAGGTGATGCAGAGCGAAGCACCAGATGCGAGGAAGATGAAAGAAAAAAGAAGAAAGAAAGAAAGAAAAACAAATGGAAAATGAGAGAAGAGAAAAAAAAGAAAATGATAAGGAAAGAATATAAAAGGCTTTTGACGAAAATGCCCCTGATTGTGAATAAGATTTGGTCATATAGTGAGTTTGGACCCTTATTTGAGATTGAGTTAGATACTTATTTGAGACAAATTCACTTCAGACTTTGAGAAAATAACCTCACTTCGAATCTTATCTGAAAATTTTCCTAAATTCCTCGTGATTGTATCTCTATATATATAAGGAAATTCTTGCTATTGTCCTTTCTATTTCAAAATTCCAAGGAGATTTTTTAAATCAAAAATTTTTGCTAAGAATTGATTGCAAATCTGCAAAAAACGTTTTGCAGAAAGATGTTCAAAATATTGCTTCTAAACAAATTTTTGCTAGATGGCAAGCAATTTTATCTGTTTTTGATTTTAGTATAGAATTCTTCGAATTCTCTTCCAGATTTTCTCACAAGGGAATTTTTACAGGGAAAATGCCTCTCAAACCTCCCAACAAACCCACAAGGAGAGACAAAGGCAAAGAAATTACCGAGACCTCCTCAGAACAAAAACGTGTATATATATATATATATATACAAGGAAAAGGCATATATAACCTCCTCCGCTGGAGTTTCTAGCCAAAAAATAAAAAAAAAAATAAAAAGAGAAGTCCTCGGCTTCCTCAAGCAAAAGGGGATATATATTTTCCTGAATCATTTCGAGTTCCTTCACCCTTGAGAGTCAAAACTTCGAAGGAGAAATAAAAGTCAGAGTCTGTCAGCGCAAGGAAGAGATGCATCGTCTCGTTATTCGCAACTATATCGCAGCGCTTGTCGCTCCGATCCTTCTCTCTGTGCTCGCGTACAAGCTTCTCGATAAGAGGAGAGCAAGCGCACACAGAAAAGCGGAAGACCCGAACCCTGGGGCGCCTGCTCTGTTAATCCTGCCAATTCAAAGCCATTACGACGTGTTCTTGAGCTTTAGAGGCACCGATACTCGCCGAGCCTTCGCCGATCTCCTCTACTGCTGCCTCGTCGATGCCGGAGTCCATGTCTTCAGAGACGATGGTGAGCTCCGCCCAGGCGAGGACATCGGCCTGGAATTTGTGGAAGACATTAAGAACAGTAAGATTTTGATCCCAATTATCTCCGCGAATTACGCTGCCAGCAAATGGTGCCTTGACGTACTAGTTCAAATGATGGAGTGCAAGAGACGGTTGTTGCCCATATTCTACAAAGTGGAACGCGCGGCTGTGCAGCATCAAGTCGGTAGTTTTGGAGAGGCATTTCGTTATTATTGTAACTGGAGGCGTTTCGACCAAAGGGTTGTGGAGGAATGGAAGCAAGCGCTCGAAGAAGTCAGTCTCTTACAGGGATGGGAATCAGAGAAAGATGCTGATGGGTACTTCATTCTTTAACGCACACCTTGTTTATGCCCAAGTTCTATTGTGTGGTATCATTGGCTAATAGTTATATTATTAAACTCATTTTATTTGATAGGCATGAAGGAGAATTGGTAAAATTGGTCGTCCAAAAAGTTTTGAAAGAGTTGAAGACAGGGGCGATGCTGTTGTATACTATGGAGAATTTGGTCGGAATTGATAGTCGTGTGGAGAAGGTTATGGAATTGATAAATAAGAGTTCTAGTGAGACTCTATGTGTGGGAATTCATGGAAGGGCTGGCATTGGTAAGACCACTCTTGCTAAAGTCATCTACAACAAGCTCTTAATTCTATTTGAGCATCATAGCTTCATTGCGGACGTTGGAGAATTATGTAACCAAAAAGGTATTGAGCACTTGCAAAGCAAGTTAATCTTTGATATACTGGGAAAAGATTATCAGTTGCATAATAAGGATGATGGAATTAACTTTATCTCATCCAAGTTTAAAGATAAGAAAGTCCTAATTCTTCTTGATCATTTGGATACAACTAATCAGTTAGAGGCTTTGGTTGGAAATCCTAACTGGTTCGCACCTGGAAGTAGGATCATTATCACCACCAGAGATAAGAGTGTTCTTGATAGGGGTGGAGTGGACACCACATACGAGCCTAAGGAAATGGATGAGAAGCAATCTCTGATCCTATTTTCTAGACATGCATTTCGAAGAGACTCTCCTCCAAGTGAATTTTCTACTCTCTCTCGTCTTGTGGTCTCTACAGTAGGAGGGATTCCCTTAGATCTGGGGGTTGTAGGTTCATTTTTGTGCGGAAAAACACAAGCAATATGGGCAGATACAATAGAGAAGATGCAAAATTCGGCTCATTGGGCAGTGCGAGACACGTTGTGGATGAATTATGAAGCATTGGAGGATGATACAAAACAAATATTTCTGGATATTGCTTGTCTTTTAATTGGGAATGATGCAAGAGTTGCATCCTACATGTGGGATGCCTGCGGCTTTTATCCAAGGGTAGGAATTGAAGTGCTGAGATCTTTGTCATTCATAAATATTGGCGATAATCATGAGCTCGGAATGCATAAGCAAGTGAGAGATCTTGGTAGGGAAATTGTGCGTAGAGAAAACTACAAACCTCACGAACGTAGTAGATTGTGGGATTACGAGGAAGCCATGGAAGTGTTAGAGGGAAATAAGGTAACGTCATATTTTTTTTCTTTTGCTTCTGAAGTCTATGTTCTCTTGTTTTAGATGATGTTAGTCCTCTAATTAATGTCAGTTGAGTTTCAGTGAACACGCTCTTCCATTTTATTATTTAATTGACGTGATCAGGAGCAAGGAGGTTGCTCTCTCTTAGTAAGTGTTGCGGTTTCTTGTCAAATTTCTGCCTTTGAAGTTTAGAAAGTCATTACCATTAACAGGGAACCCATTCATGAACATAATGTAGAAAACTGACCAGCGAATACTTAAATGTAGATTTTTCAGTGTCTATATTGAGAGAAGCAGAATACTGACCCAGGTAATTAAAAGGTATGCTTTATAATTAAGCCTAATGTAACTGAGGTGAGTCTTATCTCTCTTATGGTTGTCAGCTGACATCTATGATCTTGTCAACTAAATCCAAGATACCAACCAAAAAAAAACTAAATCCAAGATAATCATCCTCGTTAATTTTGAAATTTAGTTAATGCAACTGAAATGGAATATCAGTCATCCTCATTGATTTAGTAAGTTATACTTTGGTTGTTTTGTGGTATTCGTAATTCACCTGTTCCTGCTCCGTTAAATGTCTTCTTAAAGACTTTGACAGCAGTATTTAGGGAAGAGAAAAGGGTAAAACCCCTAAAAAACAAAGTCTCTTCCTTTATGTGATCGTATAGATGGGTGTGCTCTTCTTTGTGCAACTAGTTAGAGAGCACACATTTTGTTTGTACTAAAAGTAGTTACGAAAACAAGTAAATAAAAAATAACGTGTGAAGATTTTATTTATTTTAGAATGACAATTTCCCATAGTTGTGGATTGAAAATATTTTAAAAATTGATTGCAGGAAGTGTCAGTGAAATTGACGAAGCACCTTGTAATTATCTCGATAACTTCTATTAGTGTTTAATGTATTTCTTAATAACGAAACTAATAAATTGCATGAACTTTTATGGAAATTTTTAGTTATAAGTTTGGAACTGAAATTTATATCGAGCTTTCTATAGAAAAGTAGGCTTACGAGATCAAATTGATATAATTACATTGAGTTGGTTAGATGCAATATTTTTGAGCCTTGGTTTTTTCTCGTAGGGTACTAATATAATTCAAGCCATTTGTTTAGACAAAGGCAACTCAAAGAGAATTGCTGACGAAGGCAACTCAGATGATATAATTGGTCAAGGGAGCTGCGAATTTACGGGTGAACAATTTAGAAACTTACCGAGCTTGCGGTTACTTCACATGAGTGATGTGAATATTACTGGAGATTTTAATGAAATATTTTCCAAGTTAAGATGGCTCAAATGGGGGAAGTGTCCCCCAACTTTCGCAGCAAACAACTTACATGTAAGGGAATTAGTCATACTCGATTTGTCAGGAAGCTCGATTTCAGATGACTGGCAAGGATGGCGTTCAATGATGGTATGATAACAAACACTTTTTTTGTTCATTTCTCTTGAGTAGAGAACAACTCCCAGCTGAACCATACGATATATTTTATCTTACAGATGGCAGAAAAGCTGAAGGTTCTCAACCTTAAAGGTTGTTGTTCTTTAAAAAGTACTTTCTACCTCTCCGCTTTTAAAAGTTTGGAGATTTTGATCCTCAGAGATTGTGACAAATTAGAGCAAATTGATCCTTGTATTGGAGACGTGGAGACTCTCGTTTCCCTGGACTTGAGTGGATGTACGTGTCTTGTGAAGCTGCCGCCTCAAATGGGTAAACTAGAACATTTGAAGGAACTTCTTCTAGATCAAACTATGATAAAAGAAATTCCTTCCTCCATCGGTTATCTACAAAAGCTAGAGACGCTTAGTGTGAAGGATTGTAAATTATTGCTCGAACTTCCGGACTCGATAGACCATTTGGAGAATTTGCGGTGCTTTTTATTGGGACGCTGCCACCAACTGAGAAAGATCCCCAATTCAATTGGGAAGTTGGCATTTCTAACTCAATTGGATTTGTCGTGGACGATGATCAAGGAATTACCTGAATCGATAGCGGATTTGCAAAATTTGGATGTTCTGGATATTGGTCATAGTGATATAGAAAAGCTACCGGATGGTATTGGAAGGTTGAAGAAGCTAGGGATGCTTAGTGCCAAGGATTGCAAATTATTGCTCCATCTTCCAGACTCAATAGGCCGTTTGGTGAATTTGCGATGCTTATCATTGGAACGCTGCCACCGATTGAGAGAGATCCCCAGCTCAATTGGGGAGTTGAAATTGTTGAGTCAACTGAACTTGAGTGGCTGTTTGTGTCTTGAGGTGCTACCGTCTCAAATGGGTAAACTAACACAATTGAAGGAACTTCTTCTAGATCAAACTATGATACGAGAAATCCCTTCATCCATCGGTTGTCTAAAGAAGCTAGAGGTGCTTAGTGCCAAGGATTGCAAATTATTGCATCGACTCCCAGACTCGATACGCCATATGGTGAAATTGTCGACCCTTGTGCTATCAGGCTGTGTTGAGCTTGCGGCACTTCCAGACAGCGTTGGGTTCCTTGTGAATCTGCGGTGCTTATCATTGGGGCAATGCCACCGATTGAGAGAGATGCCCAACTCAATTGGCAAGCTCAAATTGTTGACTCAACTGGACTTGAGTGGATGTTTGTGTCTTGAGGAGCTGCCGCCTCGAATGGGTAAACTGGAACAATTGAAGGAACTTCTTCTAGATCAAACTATGATACGAGAAATTCCTTCCTCCATCGGTTCTCTAAAGAAGGAACTTCTCCTAGATCAAACTATGATACGAGAAATTCCTTCCTCCATCAGTCATTTAAAGAAGCTAGAGAGGCTTAGTGCCAAGGATTGCAAATTATTGCATCGACTTCCGAACTCAATAGGCCGTTTGGTGAATTTGTCAACCCTCATCTTATCAGGCTGTGTCGAGCTTGCGGTACTTCAAGACTGCATCGGGTTGCTTGTGAATTTGCGTTGCTTGTCATTGGGACGTTGCCACCGATTGAGAGAGATCCCCAACTCAATTAGGAAGTTGAAACTGTTGACTCAATTGGACTTGAGTGGATGCTCGGGTTTGGAGGAGCTGCCTCCTCAAATGGGCAAACTAGAACAATTGGAGGAACTTTTCCTAGATCAAACTATGATACGAGAAATGCCTTCCTCCACTTGTCATCTAAAGAAGCTAAAGACGCTTAGTGCCAAGGATTGTATATTATTGCGTCGACTTCCGAACTCAATAGGCTGTTTAGTGAATTTGTCGACCCTTGTCTTATCAGGCTGCATCGAGCTTGTGGCACTTCCAGACAACATCGGGTTCCTTGTGGAATTGCAGTGCTTGTCATTGGGACACTGCCACCAATTGAGAGAGATCCCCGACTCAATTGGGCAGTTGAAATTGTTGACTCAACTGGACTTGAGTGGATGCTCGGGTCTGGAGGAGCTGCCTCCTCAAATGGGTAAACTAGAACAATTGGAGGAACTTCTCCTAGATCAAACTATGATACGAGAAATTCCTTCCTCCATTGGTCACCTAAAGAAGCTAAAGACACTTAGTGCCAAGGATTGCATATTATTGCGTCGACTTCCGGACTCAATAGGCTGTTTGGTGAATTTGTCGACCCTTGTCTTATCAGGCTGCGTCGAGCTTGTGGCACTTCCAGATAGCATCGGGTTCCTTGTGGAATTGCAGTGCTTGTCATTGGGACACTGCCACCAATTGAGAGAGATCCCCGACTCAATTGGGCAGTTGAAATTGTTGACTCAACTGGATTTACCTGAATCGATAGAAAATTTGAAAAATTTGGAAGTTCTGGATATTGATCATAGTAACATAGAAAAGCTACCAGATGGTATTGGAAGGTTGAAAAAGCTCTGAGAGTTATATGCTTGATGGTGCTCAAAATTGGGACGGGACTGTCCAAGAATCTGTAATCTTTCTTCTTTAAATCTAGTGTATTGGTTTAATTTAATGCCCAACAACAATCTAGAATTCTTTTGGAAATTTTTTTCAAAATGAGTCGTTTGTGGTTCAGGTTTGCGTCTTCATGCTGAAGTAGAAGCTTTACTGTCATTTCTGGTCTCTATTCAAGCTCTCATGGTGATGATACTGTTGTCTGCGCAGCTTCCTTTAATAGCTCTCTGTCTGCTTCTGATGCTTGGAAGATTATTAGAAGCAGTGTTGAATCACTTGGTGATTCCTAATGTCTAGAAACAAAGTTTATATTGTATCAGCAAGTGCATTCATATGAATTCTCACTCGTTAAACTTCCTACTTCTGGTGACAAGTTTTAGAGCTGCGCTTCATTAGTAAAGCTAGTGGATGTTGTCCTGGTGATTCTCGGGTTAAGAAAGAACTAAAACGGTTCTTATTTTTGCAAAGTTGCTCTAAAAGTGGCACGGAGTGGATGTTTCTACTACATCTGGAAGTCTCAGAGTAAGGCTTTTCAATTATTCCAGTTGAAAATTGTGATGTAAGGATTATATAAGTTCGCTACTAAAACCAGATATGAAAATGTTTTGGGTATGAAGAATGACGCAGCTGGTTACAAGGAGATTGGATCTAGTCCTGAGAATGCTTGATTGATAAAATAGCTGACTTCTTGGTCCATGACCCCCTTCAGTCACTACGAATGCTGCCATCAATACAGTGGAATGCGACTTCTATGCATTTGAGATTGTTTACATATTAGGATATTAAGTTCAAAATGATGTTATTTGATAATTTCTAAGAACAAATGCTCAATAATTTGTAATTGCTCCTTGTCGTTGTAAATTTTGGTACTGTTTTCATGGTTTCATGTTGCTCAACTTCCCAATCCCTGGTCAGTCTAGCATGGTGCTCTTCCTGTATTAAGACTCTTTTCGGATGCCTTGATTCAAAGAATTGCCCCTTCTTGTCAGTGTTCTAACGGTGGCGTGTCTTGAAATCAGTTCACTCATGTGGCATCACGCATGAGCTAATGATGTGCATCATCACAGTTAAGATGGTAGCATCTGAACTGAATGAATGCCATGGAAGATAAAAATTATCAACAGAGAAGCCAAGCCTGTATTTTTTGAAAGTTTTAGGATTCAATTACACTTTCGTGATAAATTTTAAGACTTACAATGCACTTATCCCTATTTTCTTTTTTAAAAAACCCGGTCACCATGACTTTGGCTACGTCGAAAAGCTTATGACTCGATCTTTAGCGTGGAATTGATCTAGCGGAGAAGAAAACCAAAGTGCCTAATTTATTACTACCAAGGCCTTGTTCTTGCTCCCGAAGAGAATATGCGATATTCGACCAACAAAAGAGAAGAGAATATGCCATAAATAAAGTTCTTTTTCTAACTAAAATAATTCAAATAACACTCTCTTTTCTTTTCTATTTTCTTTTTTTCTTTTTTGGTCTATGACCTTCCGATATACAGGTAACCCAACTAATCCGGAAGCGAGCACTGTCGGACCCACAAGGGAGTGGCTCTCCCAACGCCGTTTGCTCCATACACAAGGCTCGAACTCGAGACCTTGCACTCTCTTTTCTTTTAGAATGTATTTTTGTACACACGTATGCATTTGTTTTGCTGGTAAATAGATAATTGATTCCTCAATTATATATTAGGACGTGGACCACATCGCTCAGTCAGTGCATCCAGACAAGAAACAATAGATTATAACTTTACGTACCGAGGGACCATTTTTTTTTCTTTTTCTTTTTTGTAATTGACTCAAAAGTAGTAAGAACGTGCCGGCACGTCATTCACTTTTATTTTTTCATGCCACAAAAGTTGACTGTGCGTTGGGAGGTGGCCGCCTACCATTCGGGTATGGCGGTATTGACTAGAGGATGAAGATGAAGCTGAGGGTGTTTATGGTAAAGAGCAAGTGACCGAGAAACAATCTGAAACGTGGCCCACAGGACACGTGGCGAACGATGAGCGAGGGAATCGTCGCTGCCGTGACAGCCGGGACTGCTCAATATTTTCTCTCATGGTGGTGGCCACCGTACCCCTTTCAATGCATTAATGCTTGGAATTTTTAACTTTCCTTTTTTATTTAATTTCTTTTCCAGGTAGACTTCTCTCACTCCACGACAACTCCTTCCAGTTCCTTCCTCGACCTCTGCAGATTCCTTCCTCGCTCCAAATCCCTTGATCCCTTCTTAGTTCTTCCTTGTTCAAAGTCAAAGGCCACATCTTTGAATACCAAAGTTCTGTCAAGACTCAACCTTTAATTAGCTTCTGAAACACCCAATTTCACCTTCCTTTTGAATCAGATTCCTTTTGTTTCTGACTATGAATGGGTAGTTAGTAGCAAGCTCTCATTCACAACTTCCACGACAGTTTCTTCTGTTCTTCTGTCCATCTTCAATGATATTGGTGCATATAGTGGCAAAAAACGAAAAAAACTATGCTCTCCATCTCTGTCCTTTAAAGAACAGTTTTACCCTATCCTATTCATTAAAGAAAATAGTATCAGTCAAAGGTATACTCAATATTTCTGGGAAGGACATCAAATTCGAGTTTTTGACTTTATGTTAGTATATATAGATAACACTTAGGATTTCAATAGAACTTTAATCCACAGAAATTCCAGAATTCTAATTCCTCATAATTTGCAAAAGCTAATTCCTTCTTGTGGATTACTATGATTCCGAAAAGTACTTTTATGTAGAATATATTAAGTTTATGTTCATATTTTGAGATCAATAAAAAAAAAATTTGGTGAAAGAGATCAATAATTTCGAATGTACTTCTATTGTATTTTAGAGGATGAGTAGCAATAGTAAGGATTTTCGCACGAGGGCAGTCTCGTCTCTTAAAAAAAGAAATTGTGCTAATATTGTGTGTGAAAATAGCAGTTCTCCTAGTATCACGGAAAGTGGGTGGGTCTTTTTCTTTGGGGCCACAGAAAAAAAAAAGTCGTGCAGTGCTGATTAGGAGAGCTCTCATTATCTCAGTATGTCAATTTTTTCTCCATTGATTCAATTTGTCTAATTGAATCAGCTGGCAGCCAGAATCGTACCAATAATTTAAATTTGTCAAGCTAGATATAGATTGATAATTCATTGACGGAAAACAGTGACCACGCGCTTATAATCGTTGCCTTCATGTGGTGGAAATTTCAATACACAAAAGAATCCAAGGCAATCCCTGCCAAGGAAGAAGACAATATCTGAGGAAATTTCCATGCAGAAGCAATGGAAAGAAATAAAACGAAACATAAGAAACGAGTGCTGTCATATCATACGTCAGACATGTGGCCAGAATAGATTAATACTAACAAGCGTAAGGACCGTGATGACGGCAACATTTTAGTCTAACACCTTCCAAGACGGTAAAATCCAGTACGACTAGAAAAAGCTCCTCCCTCTCTTCCCTCGCGGCCATCAACATTGTCAGCAAAATCTCCGCTGCTCAGTCCCTGTATATATTGGTCTCCCCCCCCTCAATCCCAGCAGAAGGCAGAAGATAGAGAAGGCACTAAACGCCAAAATGAACATGCGATCAAGCCAAGCCCATCTCTGGCCTGATCACACCCACGATCATCTCCTGAAACGTTTAGTCTTGGGGCTGCACCGTTTACATGTTAATACACAACCGAAAGTTCATATTCTCCATGACAAAAGTTAAAAGTCCAGGACAATTTTAATAGCAAGTGCAAAGTTTAAGATTCCGTAGAACATTAGGCTAATATAATTTGGAAAATTCACTTTTTCCAAAAAGAATTTGTTAAAAGAAAATGAGAATTGTCTAGATTTTCACACTTTTAAGGTATCTATTTTCGTTGATCTATTTATTCACTTGCGAAATGTTAAATTATGATTTGGTCATGTCACTTAATATATCAATTTTAAAAGCAAAAACATGGAGCGATACTGAGTGTGAAAGTGATGAGGAATATGCCAATGTTTGCTTAATGGCATTGTCAGACTCAGACTTAGATTCTGACTCAGACTCAAAAACTGAAGTGGAAATTGAGGTAAAGTATCCAGAAATTCCTATTGAAGTATCAAATTATATCGATGAATTATGTTCTGAATTTAAATCTGCTCTTAAGAGGATTTCCGAATTGAAAAAGGAAAATTCAATGCTGAGGCAACATGATGTTTCTCAAAAGGATTTTATCGATTTCTTACAAAAGGAATTTCATCAAATCAAAGAAAATCGAGATTTACTTGCTGAAGAAAACACTATATTGAAAAAGGAATTTTTGGATATTACTTCAAAATTTTCAAATGGTTCAAAAACTTTGGAACATATACTTTCCATATAAGGTCTTTACTATAACAAGTCAGGATTTGGTTTACTAAGGAAAGTGATCTTTTAATTGATTTTCCAAAAGTCAAGGAGAGACTTAAACAAAGACCTCATAGACATGCTTATAGAAATTATTTTCAAAAGAATTTTGTAAAACCTGTTGGTCGAAATGCCCTCAAGTGCTCAAATTGTGGCGATCCAAAGTACTTTGAGAATGAATGTCCTAAAATCTGGAGACCAATTCAGAGAAACTGGATAATAACAGCTTATTTTACTAACTCCTAAGGACCCAAATTCATTTGGGTCCCAGAGAAAGATGAGATTACTTTTCTTGTAGGGAATAAAGAAAAGAAATACTGGTAAGGAAAGGTATGTCTTTAAATTCTCATTATACTTGATATATTTTCTCCTTTTTGTGCTTTACTCAAACTTTATATGACGTGCTCTATTTTTTATGCAAATTTATGAGTTGTGAAATGAACTCTTGTTTAGAGATAATTCAGTTGATTGGATAACTCCCAATATTATTATATGCTCTTTGATCTTGTCTTGCCTTACAAAGAAGGAATGTTTTTTTTATGAGGTATTGTTTTATTATGCATGATATATTTCTCTCAAATACTCTACTGAGATGTTATGGGAAGGTATCCTTCGGCTTCTATGAAAGTTTTCTATTTTGCACCTAACAAAAGAAAAGGATCCAAATACATGGCTACCAAAAAGGAAATGAGTATATTGCAGGCAATTATACAAAGGAAGCGTGATTAAAGAAGGATCTCAAGTGATGAACTCTTTCTAAAGAGGAAAGATATCTTATAATTGACAAGTTTGATCCGCAAATTAGAGGAAGGTATGTACATGATATTATTTATATTTTTGCAAAGATTATTGTCTCCTCTACAAGAAATTGTAGGTTGTAAAGGAATCTTTCCATATGAAGTTTGGAAAGCTTGATCCAAAAAATGCGGAGATTTTGCAATATTTTCTAAAGGATTGAAAATTTCTTCTTTGTGCAAAATTCTCACAAATTCTCGAAGGTATCTCAAAATATTCTAAGCAAACGCTTAATGCGTCGTACGAAAGGATAAGTAACTTTGGGTTGAAATATTTGATATTCTATTCAATTTATTTATTCGAAAGAAGGGCATTGCATATTATGTGAGATATTATATCTTTAACCGCAAATTTGTGCAAAAAGTTTGTTGAGTTTATGCAGATTAAATTCGAGACAAGCTTGAATGAAGAAAACAAATTTCTTTCTCAAATTTATTGTAAACGAATGTG